CGAGCTGACGGAGCTCCCGCTCCTCCTGCTCCATTTCCTCACGCTGCAGGGCCTGCTGCAACCGCCGGCCTTCAGCCTCCAGCTCTGCCAGCTCTGCCAGCTCAACTTCCGTGGCAAAGGCCCAGTCCGCGTCCAGCAGCTTGTACCCAGACGGTCGTTCCGCTCGGGGACTTTCGATGCGATGCTTTGCTTGGCTCCGGGGCGACAAAGGAAGCCCTGCATGGGACAGGAACATGATCATTAAAAGTTGAGAGCTTGCTAGACACATCGACACCCATGCAAATTAACATACAGCTACACACTTGCTTCCTGGATGCCTCTGGGAGGCGGTGTCACGATGGTGGAGGACGAGGACTCCGAGATTGCAGCTCGTGGGGTCACTCCTGCAGCAGATAGGTTTTTTTGCATCGAGGGTACTGGCGGCTTCAAGCTATAAAGGCTTCAAGGATTTAGGGCATGTGCAACAAGGCCTGGCAGCTCAAGCTTGGCCAGGTTGTCGGCACCAAGTGCCTTGTCATGGTTTAGGGGTCTGCAGTTCCTATGTCTGACTCCCCATGCCGAGTTTATCTGCAATTTCTAATTCTATACAAGTCACGTCGGATCTTTCATGGCTCTTGGGGTCTTTGGCATCATTGGTGGACGTTGCGCACTCTTCTGCGTCAGTGGGTGGGGGTTCTGGGGAGTATCTGCTGTCATGCCAGTTCTCACCATCACACCACTGCATAGGGCCAAGCAGGGAGCTGCTGGATGATCCCTCAGCGTCTGGTCGGGCAGGAGTAGGAGGCGCATGTGAAGGCACATCTGGAGGCACATGTGGAGGCACATGTGGAGGCACATGTGGGGCAACATCGATCACCTCATCACCATCCTCTTCCTCAGACTCGCCCCCTTCCCCAGACCCAGGCTCCCCACCCCCAGACTCACCGCCCTCAGCTCGCTCGGATGCTGCATCATCCGAGGAGGCATCGCTGTCACCGCGGTCAGACGCTGCAGCTTGGGAACTGCAACCTGGGATGGGGTTCTATATTAATTTTGTTTAAAGGCGTCTGCGCACACTACAGCCAGCTGGCTAGTATTCAATGAGTTGCTTGGGATCGGGATGCCAGCTTTGTAGAAAAGATCACGTACACCGGCATCCCTTGGAACATGGGGTCTCTTAGCACATCGCCCGAAAATCGTCACCAGCCGTCGCAGAATCCAGGCTTGAGTGCGTAAGGCAGTGCCTGCCACAAACGTATTGCATGATAATTTAACATGCATGTCCCACATCAAGATCCCCATGCCCTATCACAAGCAGTATGCCTGACGGCATCTTCTTGCTAGCCGGGAGGTGCAAGCTGTAAAAGCGCTTCAGGTACTCCGCCACCTGAAACACCGACGGTCGTAGTCCTGGGCTGGATCTATATAGGGGTTTGCTAGGCTGGGTTTAGGGTCATAGGGTTTATGGGGTTTATAGGGTTTAGGCGTTGTAGCAGGTGGGATTTAGTAATGCCAGCTAGGCACCAACGTGAGAAATCAATGGAGCCAGGATATCGGTGTTGTCAGCCAAAGTAGCCCTCCCTAACTTTGGGTACTGGAGGATCACAAGCCGATCTTTCAAGATTTGTGCCATCACCACAGGGCTGTTCGCCCATGCTTCAAGCACGGGGTCTTTCGTAGGCTCAGCCATTGCGGGAATGCTAAGCAATCTGCAGTACTCGTGTGATTCAAGCCCATGATCGATATGTATACTGTGGACCATGTAGCCTTGTAGTCTGCAAATTCGGTACCATAGAACTTGGAGCCAGCTGACACCACAAGCCATCAGAAGCATTCAGCCAGCTTACAAAAACCTGCTGCACATATAACATTATAACGAGCCAGGCCGGCCAAGTAGAGCCCAGATGGTCGGTCCATACAGGGTACCTGCCAAAAGATGACTGATCAGCCCAGGTATTCCTGGACCTGTGCACAAACACACAAGACTGCAGGGCGCACCGCCGCACCGCAGAGTCCGCATATGGATAGATATGGATGCATGGGTTCGGTTTTGAGGCTGAAGTTTAGCAGCATGCAAGGCTTGAAGCCCAATAGAAACCCCAAAACCCCTATTTTACAAAAGAGGCCGTTTTAGCAGAATTGTAGCCGAAACCCGAGAAGTGTTACAATCCCAGGCATTTCTATATCAAACCCCCATCGGGCGGAAATAAGTGTTACAAAGGAAGCTCCAGGAATGGT